CCGCGACGCCGTTTCGGGGCCGCTGCTCCCGCCGGGGTGGCACAGCGCTGCGTCGTGCAGCATCGGCCTCCGCCGGTCTCGATTGGGGGCTGCGGAGCTGCTTTTTGCGTTCTCTTCTCGCTCGGCTCGAGGGTGCGAACGGTAGGCGCGCGAGAGATGCAGGGCCATCCCCCCGCAACTGCTATGCTCTGTCTGTCGAGCTCCTCGAGATCCGCTGGCGGTGCTCCCAGGTGGTATACAGTCGAGGCGTTGACCTAAGGGACCCTAAATGAGGAACGAGGCCCCTAGTTTCCATAAGTTGAACCTCGATCTCGTATCGAAAACCTGAGGGAAATCCAAGGCAAGCTGCGAAACAATTAAGGAACACGGAGCCCCTCCCCAACGACAAGGGTTCCTTCTTCAGGGCCCCGACTGTATCCCTGCTCGTCCTGGGTGCGTCCGTCGTCGTTGCGAGGCTTCCGCGCCTGCGCTGCGGGGGGCCCGCCCGCGTGCGGGCGGGTGCGGGTCGAGGGTGGTGGCTGGCCTGCAGGCCGCTGGCTGCGCTCGTCGTGAGGATGACTGGTCGCCGCCGCTGGTCTGCTGGTGACAGCCTGCGAGGGCCGAGCGGAGAAGACGCGCATTTTCCACTTCCTCCTGCTTTGCACCACTGTGCTCGCGCGCTCGCGCGCCCGAGCCCTTCCCGAGCCGAAGTGGCTGCAGGGGCCTCCTTCCTCCTCCCCCTCTCCTCCCCTCGCCCGTCCTCTGGCAGGGCGACGGACACTTCCCCTCAGCACACCACCTGTCCGCCCTTTCAAGTGCTCCTTCTGCCAGGAGGCGCACGGTGTTCGTTCGCATCCGCGCGGCCGAAGAGCGTCTTGTGAGCACGCGGGGGGGAAGTCGGGTACGGGGTCCGAGCGCCCCCCGCTCAAAAGTCGCGGAAGGAGGGGGTCAAACCCCACCTCCCCACTCTCCAAGGTGAAAATCGGGAGGGGAGGTGCGGCCCTCCCTCTCTGGGTGCCGGCGATGGCGACGGCGACAACGCCCGGCGATGGCAGACGACGGCGATGGCGACGGCGACGGCGACGGTGACGGCGACGGCGACGGCGACGACGGCGACGACGACGACGATGACGGCGTGTTGTCGCGCCCGACCGACAGACTCGCCCACGACGTTGACGATGTGCCCGCCTGGCCGCCAGACCGACAGACTCGCCGGCAAACGACAACGATGAAGACGACGATGGCGGCGACGACGACCACGGCGACGACGGCGATGGCGACGGCGACGGCGACGACGCCCGGCGCGGGCAGACGACGACGGCGTACCCCGCCCGCCCGACCGACTCTCCCGCCACGATGCCGGCGACGTGTCCCGCCTGCCTGACCGACGGGCTCGCCGGTAAGCGACGGCGGCGGCAAGGGCGCGATGCCCCGCCCGGCTTGCGAAGTGGGGGGGGTGCGGGGGGTCGACCCTCCCGCCTCTGGCTTTCGGACGGGGGGCGGGGGGCTGGGGAGAGGCGGGGGGTTTTGGCGGGCGGGGGGGGGGGAGGGGGCCTAGTTCTGGAGAGGTGGTGGGAGGGGGGGGGTCGGGGTGTCGACCCCCCCGCCCCCAGCTTTTGGAAGGGGGGCGGGGGGCTGGGCAGGTGGGGGGTGCTGGCGGGGGATGGGGGGGGGCAGTTCCGGAGAGGTGGAGGGGGAGTGGAGAGGGGGGATGGGGCAGTTTTGGAGAGGGCGGGGGACCGATTCCAGAGCGAGGGAGGTTGTTATCCTGCGCCAGCGAAGCGTGCACGGAAGAAGCTCCCTCGCTCGTCCACTGTTTCAGGGTTTCCGTCGCAGAATGCTCGCACTGGGTTGATCCCACGAGTCTACAGTGGGCGAGATGACCCAGACATCCGGCGCACCCCCGCCCCGACCTCTCGACGGATTCCCCAGGGCTGGTAGTTACCTAGTTCCGAGCTCCTTCTGGACGGCCCCAGGGAACCGGCCCCCTGAGATCCCAAGCAGGGAAAAGCTGGCCTTGTCGATCTGTTCGAGCCCCCGCACGTCCGTCGGGGGCAACGGGGGATGGTCTCAGGGGTGGATGCATCGACCCCCAGTCGCTCATTCATCGCCGATCTGGGGCCGCCCGCCGCCCCGCCCAGGAACGTGCGGACTCGCTGTCAGGGGGCCTGTCGCCGATCTCTCGGCTCCGCGCCATCCCCCCTGAGCCAGCCAGCCACCTCTCTAACGTTCCCCCTCGGTGCGGTCGGCCTCGCTCGTGCTGTGCGTTGGGCATCGCCCGCTGGAGGGGCAGCGGCTCCCTCCTTCCCCTCTGCAGAAGCCTGGCGTGCCCCCTCCGTCTGGGAATCCTCACTGTCCCTCTCCGCCACGTCTTCCGCCCTCGCCTCAGGCCATGCTCGACGCAAAGCTCGACAGCACTCTCGGCGCGCTCGCCGGGGAGAAGCAGAAGGGCAGTGGCGGAGCCAGACGAGCTCAGGACAGACCCTTTGCTCCCTTGGCCTGGCAGCCGAGATCGGCATTAGGCCAATCAGAGTGCTCAGGACGGGCCTCTTCTCTCTTGGCCTGGCAACCGAGATTGGTTATTAGGCCAATCGCAGGGCTCAGGAAGGACCCTTTGCTCCCTTGGCCTGGCAGCCGAGTTTGATATTAGGCCAATCAGAGGGCTCAGGACAGGCTTCCTCTTCCTTGGCCTGGCGGCCGAGATCGGAATTGGGCAAGTCAGAGGGCTCAGGACGGGCCTCTTCTCCATTGGCCTGGCAGACGAGATCGGTCTTAGGCCAATCAGAGGGAAAACGTGGGTACGGCGATGGTGATGGTGATGGTGATGGAGATGTATTGTCGTGGATGGTACGACGATGCTGCTGATAATGGCGTGCAGTGTCGTGTTGATAGTGGTGGTGGCGGTGGTGGTGGTAGTGCTGGGGGGCGACGATGACGACGATGATGATGGCGACGCTGATGATGATGCTGTTGCAGATGACGATGACGATGTGAACGTCGATGACGACGATGATAATGATGAGGTTTATGATGATGATGATGATGATGATGATGATGATAGTGATGCTGATGAGGACGATGATGGTGACGATGATGATGGTGTGGTGATGATGATGACGAGGTTGATGATGCGGCCCGTGATGCTGATTGTTGTGATGATAACGATGCTTGTGCTGCTGGTGCTACTGCTGGTGATGATGATGGTGATGATGATGCTGATGCTGATGCTGATAATGATGATGGTGAGGGTGATGGCGATGCTGGTTCTGATTATGATGATGATGGCGATGATGCTGATTCTGCTTATTCTGATGATGATGACCACGATGATGAGGACGGTGATGATGATGGTGATGCTGCTAAGGGTGATGATGATACCGATGACGATGCAGACGATGGTGATGCTGATGATGCTGATGATGATGATGATGATGGTGCTTCTGCTACTGTTGAGGATAATACTGATGACGATGATTACGATGATGATGACGATGATGATGATGATGATGATGATGATGATGATGATGATGATGATGATGATGGGTATGCTGTCGCTGACGAAGCTACTGTTCATGATTATGCCGGTGTTGCTGATGGTAATGTCGATGCTTGCTGACGATGGCGGGGATGATGATGAGGATGATGATTAGGATCGTGATGATGATGATGATGATGATGATGCTGATGATGATGATGATGATGATGATGATGATGAGATGATGATGCTGCTGATGATGATGATGATGATGATGATTGTCGTGATGCTGATGACGCTGATGATGAAGAGGAGGATGAGGATGATGACGATGGTGATAGTGATGATGACAATGGCGATTACGATGAGGATGAGGATGCTGATGGTGCTGATGATGATGCCGATTCGGCTGTTGCTGATGATTCTGGTTATGATGATGGTGGTAATGATGATGATGCTGATGGTGATGCTGAGGTCGGCGGTTGTGATGATGAAGATGAACATGATTAGGATGACGATGCCGATGATGATGCTCACGATGATAATGATGATGATGACGACGATGATGATGCTGATGCTAACGATGATAATGATGATGATGAGGATGATGATGAGGATGGGGATGACGATGATGATGATGGATCATAATGAGGAGTTTGATGATGATGCTGGTGATGCTGATGATTCTGATGATGATGATTCTGCCTAGGATGTTGGTGCTGATGATGGTAATGTTGATGATGATGGTGAAAACGATGCTGTTGATGATGATTGCGGCGACGACGATTACGACGACGAAGACGACGATGATGCTGCTGATGATGATGGTTATGATGATGATGATGGTGATGCTGATGCTGCTGATGATGATGCTGATGATGATGATGACGACGTTGATGATGATGATGATGATGATGATGATGATGATGATGATGATGATGATGATGATGATGATGATGATGATGATGTTGATGATGATGATGATGATGATGGTGATGGTGATGGTGATGGTGATGGTGATGGTGATGGTGATGGTGATGGTGATGGTGATGGTGATGGTTGATGGTGGTGGTGGGTGTGTATGTTGATGCTGCTGCTGATGCTTGCTGCTGCTGCTGATAGTGATGATGGTGATGATGATGATGATGATGTGATGTGATGATGATGATGATGATGATGATGATGATGATGATGATGAGTTCAGACGACGACGACAAACGGTGGATGATGGTTGACGAGGAGGGAGATGAGGAGGAGAGGAGGAGGAGGAGGAGGCGGAGGAGGAGGAGGAGGAGGAGAGGAGGAGGAGGAGAAGGAGGAGGAGGTGGTGGAGGAGGAGGCGGAGGAGGAGGAGGAGGAGGAGGGAGGAGGAGGGGGGGGGGAGGAGGCGGGGGGAGGAGGAGGGAGGAGGAGAGAGGGAGGAGGGGAGGGGAGGAGGAGGAGGAGGAGGAGGAGGAGGAGGAGGAGGAGGAGGAGGAGGATCACTGACCAAACTGCCAGTGCCGCTCCTGTCGCACCCCACCTCGCAGCCTGTTAGTAGCGGTTGCTAGCGAGGGCTCGCCCTGGCTAGTAGCCCCCACAAGGATCGGTACGAATCGGCTGCCCAGGTTAGGGGTAGGACGCGCGGAGGGCTGCTCGGCTACTGGTCTGGGGGTAGCCCAGCAACGAAATGCGAACCAAGGTGGGGCGAGGTTGCGGAGCGGGAGAGCGGGTTGGGAAGGGGTAGGTCGTGCGGAGTGACGAACTGGCTGCCTGGGTTAGGGGTAGCACGCGCGGGAGACGAATTTGTTGCCTGGGTTAGGGGTAGCACGCGGGGAGAGCTGCCAATGCGTGCCAACGCATGCCAATGCATGCCAGCGCATGCCAATGCATGCCAACGCATGCAAATTCATGCCAATGCGTGCCAACGCATGCCAATGCATGCCAGCGCATGCCAATGCATGCCAATGAATGCCAACGCATGCCAACGCAGGCCAACGCATGCCAATGAATGTCAATGCATGCCAACGCATGCCAACGCATGCCAACGCACACCAACGCATGCCAACGCAGGCCAACGCATGCCAACGCATGTCAATGCATGCCAACGCGTGCCAATGCATGTCAGCGCATGCCAATTCATTCCAACTTTTGCCATAGCATGCCATCGCATGCCAACGCATGCCAATGCATACCACTGCATGCCAATGCATGCCAATGCATGCCAACGCATGCCAATGCATGCCAGCGCAAGCCAATTCAGTCCAACTCATGCCATAGCGTGTCAGCGCATGTCACTGCATGCCAATGCAAGCCAATGCATGCCAATGCATGCAAATACATACAAACGCATGCCAATGCATGCCAAGACATTCCAATGCGTGCCAACGCATGCCAATGCAAGCCAATACATGCCAATGCATGCCAGCGCATGCCAACGCATGCCAATGCATACCACTGCATGCCAATGCATGCCAATGCATGCCAACGCAGGCCAATACATGCCAACGCATGCCAACGCATGCCAAATCCATGTCAATGCATGCCAACGCATGCCATCGCATGCCAACACATGCCAAAACATATCAACGCATGCCAACGCATGTCAATGCATGCCGACGCATGCCAATGCATGCCAATGCATGCCAACGCATGCGAAGGCATGCCAACACATGCCAATGCACGCCAAATCATGCGACTGCATGTCGATGCGTGCCAACGCATGCCAATTCATGTCAATGCGTGCCAATGCATGCCAATGCATGCCACTGCTTGCCAATGCATTCCCAACGCATGCGAGTGCATACCAACGCATGCAAATTCATGCCAATGCGTGCCAACGCATGCCAATGCATGCCAGCGCATGCCAATGCATGCCAATGAATGCCAACGCATGCCAACGCAGGCCAACGCATGCCAATGAATGTCAATGCATGCCAACGCATGCCAACGCATGCCAATGCATGCCAACGCATGCCAACGCAGGCCAACGCATGCCAATGCATGCCAACGCATGCCAACGCATGCCACTTCATGCCAATGCATACCATTGCATGCCAACGCATGCCAATGCATGCCAGCGCATGCCCCTGCATGCCAATGCATGCCAACGCATTGCAGGGTTAGGGTAGCACGTACGGAGAAAAGAGTTGACTACCCGGGCTAGGGGTAGCACGCGGTGAGGGCTGCGACGTTACGGGTCGCATTTGGAGCGGGAAGAGTGGCTTGGCCCGTGGGGTAGCCCAGCAACCTGCTGGCCGCAGCAGGGCAATGCCGAGGCGTGGGCGAAAACCTCGGCAGTCGCCGAGCCCCACGGGCAGGCGGATAGCCCCGCTGCGCCCGGCGCCCCCCGCGCGAGTGGGCAGTGCCGGCCGGGCAGGGCTCCCCGCACGCCCCGTGGACCCGGGCAGAACCATTTATAGACCCTGGGGGCCGGACGGCACGACACGCTGACGCCGACGCCGACGACGACCACGACGACGACGGACCCCGCCTCCGTAGCGTCATCGGCGGTACCCTTCGCGAGGTCAGCGAGAACGATCCCCGCAGTGAGGTGCTGCTGCGACCTCTCAGGGCCTGACAAGCAGCACCCCGCAGCGCCACGCGCTGCCACTCTGTATCCCCCAACAGGGGGAGAGGAACGGACAACGGTGGCGGACGGACCCCTCTCGCCACTGCACCTGGAGGTGCCGCAGGGCGCCCAGGCAGCACCGATTGGCCGCGGTGGCAGGGCCATTAACAAAAATATCTTGGCCGGCGCGGGCGGCGGGCGAGCCCGCCCGAGCGGGACGGGGAAAAGGCCCCGCCCGAACGGAAAACGCACCCACGAAGGGGGAGAGCCGAACTGGCAGAGCCCCCCCCCGCACACCCAAGGGACACGGGCAAAAAAACCGGAGAAACTGACCCCGGGGCAGACGACGACGACGACGACGACGACGACGACGACGACGACGACGACGACGACGACGACGACGACGACGACGACGACGACGACGACGACGACGACGACGACGACGACCACGACACAGCATGGAAGACGGACAGCCAAGCCAGTCCGGCCCCAAGGCGGCGAACGCAGGGGGGGAATCCCTGCACCGCCCTGGGGGAGGCCCCGGGACCTGGCTGCCCCCCCTGGGAAGGGGACCCCGCTTATGGGGGCCGTCCCAGGGGAGCGGGGGCTTTTCGCCCCTCGGGCCTGGCGCCCCCCCGCCTGCGCCAGGCGGACCCCGGGGTCCCGACCCCTCCCCCTGCGGGGTGGGGCCCCTCGGGGCAGGATGAGAAGGAGGAAAAGGGGGAGGAGGAGGAGGAGGAGGAGGAGGAGGAGGAGGAGGAGGAGGAGGAGGAGGAGGAGGAGGAGGAGGAGAAGGAGGAGGAAGAGGAGGAGGAGGAGGAGTAAGAGGAACGGGAGGACTGGTGAGGTTTCCAGCCATGTGTTCGCCACTGTGCGAGGACCAGGTTGACCCGCGCAAGCAGCCGATCTCTATGCTGGTTCCGCCTTCGTTGGAGCCGGTGAAGCCTAGGCAGTGGCAG